ATGGGTCTCTTCATATGGTCATTCACAACATGGCACCCCCAAAATGAGTGACCCAAGAGAAAGAGATAGTACATGAGCAATCAGGATAGAAGTTGCAGTCCTTCATGACAATCCGTCACTTCTGTTGTGTGCCATTAGCCACACAGATCAATGCTGGAGGAAACACACAAGGATGTAAATACCAGGAGGCAGGAATCATTGGGGCAACTTGACAGTTGGTTATTACACTATCCTAATTGTTCTACATACATGTTTGATCTATAGACAGGGAGTTCTGTCCAGAACACTGTGAATAAATTTAAAGATTTGAGGTTGGGCACAGTGATTCACGCTTGTAATCTATTACTTTGGAAGCCAAGGCAGGAAGACTTCTTGAGCCCAGGAGATCGAGACCAGCCTAGGCAACATAGCAAGACCTCGTCTCTGCAAAAAAGCAAAAAAATTAGCCAGACATGGTGGCACATGCCTGTAGTCCCAGCTATGTGGGAGATGAGGCTGAAGGATCACCTGAGCCCGGAAGGTGGAGGCTGTGGTGTGCTGTGATCATGCCACTTTCTCCAGCATGGGCAATTGAGTGAGACTCTGATGCATAAAATAAAATAAAATTAAAATAAAATAAAATAATAAAATGATTTGAGATGTAATGAACTGGTTAGTATCCATGGTACACAGTGAACTTACTTGGAAGGCTTGCACTAAGTGTCACTAATCACAGAGGAGATGTGATGGAACTAATGCGGATTCATTTTGTCCTAGTGGAAGACCAAGGCACATACCTTCTAATTGTAAATTTATTGTGCTCTGTTTGTATATGGAGCAAACTCATAATTAAGCAAGTAGTTTACAATGTATTTGAGAAGCAGGATGATGTAAATAAAGATGGTATGCTGCGTTATTAATTAGTAAGAATCAGTGCTACTTTCATGTGTGTTATTAACTAGCTGAGAGACACCAGGACAGTCACTTAAGCTCTTTGGACTTATCGTATCAAACTAAAAAATGAAGGTATTACATTAGGTGATTTCTAATAATACAGTTACATCTTAAAATGATTATTTGATAATGTTCGGATTATAATAGAAAATTCTCAGTAAGATTCAGAGAACATTATCTGTGTAATTACCTTTCTATAGTAAGAGACATGCCCCACAAATTAGCCTGCAGTCAATTGGGTCAAGGCTAAGATACTCATAAGACATTTTGAATAGAGGCTGGGTGCAGTGGCTTATACCTCTAATCCCAGCAATTTGTGAAGCTGAGGAGGGAGAATCGCTTGAGCCCAGGAATTACGGGCTGCTGCGAGCCATGGTTGTACCACTGCAGTCCAACTTGGGAGACAGAGTGAAAATATAGTAATAATTTTTTTAAAAATAGAACAAGGTTGTGACAGCATTGATTTATAACAAGTTGCCGTGTGCTGGGTCCTTGGAATAGATAATAGTTTAGGGTGCAAGAGAGGGCCCGCTCCCAAAGTATAGTTCTCATAGATCATGTCCCCAGCTTGTGGCTATCTATTCCCTCAGGACTATGTATTAATATATACCATTTTCTTTTTTTTGAGTTGGCAACTCATTCTGTTGCTCAGGCTGGAGTGCAGTGGCAAAAATCATGACTCACCACAACTTCAACCTCCTAGGTTCAAGTGATCCCCCTGCCTCAGCCTCCCGAGTAGTTGGAACTGCAGATGTGTGCCATCACACCTAATTTTTCTAAATTTTTTCATAGAGAAGGGGCCTTACAATGTTGCCTAGGCTGGTCTCAATCTCCTGGGTTCAAGTAATCCTCCTATCTTGGCCTTTGAAATTTCTGAGATTACAGATGGGAGCCATCATGCCCAGCCTGTGTATACATTTTTAAGAGCTTTATTGAGGCAACTTTTACATGTCACAAAATTCACCTATTGTACATTCACATGTACAATGCTATGATTTTTAGTAAATTTAGAGTTGTGCAATCATCACCACAATCTAATTTTCATCATACCCAAAAGGTCCCTCATGGCAATCTGTGTTGATTGATCTTCTAATTCCCAACCTCAGGCAACCACTAACCTATTTGCCTTTCCTGGAAATTTCATATAAATGGAACCATGGTTCCATTTTGCATCTGGTTGCTTTCGCATACTAAAAAGTTTTTGATTGCATCATGCCATAGCATGTTTCTGTCACTTGTTCTTTGTACTTACAATTAATATTTCATTACATGAATTTACCACATTATGTTTATCCCTTCACTAGTGGATAGGCATTTGTGCTGTCCACTTTGAGGCCATTCTGAATAATGCTGCTATGAACATTTGTGTACAAATCTTTGTGGATCTATGCTTTCATTTCTGTTGGATATATGCCTAGGGGTGGAATTGCTGGATCATATAGGTTAAACTCCATGCTTAACTTTGCAAAAAACTACCAAACTGTTTTCCAGAGTAGTCTGCACCATTTTACCTTTCCATCAGCAACTCATGCACGTTCACATTTCTCCATATCCTCAATAACACTTGTCATTATCTGTCTTTTGGATCATATCAACAGGCATTTGATGGCCAGTAGGCAAGTATAAACTGGGGAGTTCCCTCTTGTCAAGGAAGACCTCAGCCCCAAAGAACCTATGACTAGTTGACAATAAAAGTTTAGGTCACTGGCCACTGAAACAATTGTTCTCTGGGCTAAATTCTTCCTGACTATACTAAGAAGCAATATCTACTTAGTTACACAAGTGGACTGGACGCTATTCTTTTTCAAGGCCACCCAAAGCAACGTTCTAAAAAATGCACCCTCCCGCCGAAATATTTCATTTTATTGCACAAATGCCACTCGCATAGTAGTTAACAATGAGACCTCAGAAATAGAGGTGATATGTTCTAGAAAATGGTCAAAGAGATTATATTTTATATTAATGTAATCTTTTATTTGTGAACAAGCATACTATAGGCAAGGAAAGTTTCGTGTATTTTATTTGGGCAAAATTCTGTATCATTTCTCTCTACAGTTAGTTTAAAGGAAATCTAAGGTTTTATAAATACTAAAAAATATAGAATGTGCACTGTATGTCTCAGAAGCTGTATTATTTACTAAGTATAGCAGTGACTCAGTCAAAATGTGCTGAATGAATCAGCCCTAAGAATAAATTTACTTTTTTTCGGAGAACTAAAATGATACAAAATAATGACTTAGTGTTGTAATAAAATGTTGTCAATTTTATTAAAAGCCGATTCCATTTCTTCACATAGTTGAGTAAATTTCTTTCTCTGTTTTAGTTAAAGCCCATTTCATTGTATTATTTCATAAGAGTAAGTTGGCTCTGTGAGACCATCATGGATAAAAACATGTACAATTAGCACCACACGTCTATAAATGCAGACAGCCACAATGACCTTCCCAATATGTACAAGTTCCCTTTACACATCCACACATATATTTACAGCCAATAAATAAAACTTAAAGCCAAAATGTCATTGAGAGAGAGTGAGAGAGAGAGATATAGCAAAGTCTATCAAAGCCAATCCCAGAGTCATATGCCGATTTAGTGAATCTTTCAAATTAATGCACCCTGGGTCAACCCAAAATACAGAAAATTAATGAATTAGCAATAAAGGGGGATGACAAAAAATCATACATCATTTTATTTTTAGAGAGAACTCATTCCAAGCCTGATGGAGTTGATCACAACATTGATCCTACATTATATAGGCACGACCATATTCTCAGCTAAAGGGCTAAAGTTTTGGCACATCCGGAACTATTTCTACTCCAACATGCTCCAATATATCCCTTGATCGATGGTTTTACCTTCCAAATCTTGCTGAAGGACAAGCACACATATGGAGCTTTATAAATGAATATGTGTTTAGATACCTACACACTTTCACAGTCTGGGTTCCCTGCAATAGCCTCTGAGATATTTGACCTCTTTATCATTTTATATTTATACATAGAAAAGCATTCTGAAAATATCAGATCTAGTTTATAAATAACTGTTCATTCACTCTTGATTTGTTGGTTAAAAACAACAAATAGCAACCTTCCTGACACTGCCTGTGGCTACTTGTACACGTTGGTTTACAAGCACTGCTTGTGAATATACCCTAGGGAGTTCTCCATCTTTTTACTTAGTAAAAATGGTCCTTGCCTAAACTTTCTAGTAACTCGAATAATGCAAAATTTGGACTTGAACACATCTTTTCATGTCAAAGCCAGGAACAAAAGAGACAAGCTCAAAGTATGACTGAAGCATGACTGAGATAAGCATGACTGAGATAAAATTGATTAGTAACTATTGGATATTGAATTATTAAAAATCAATGAAAATAATTTGGAAAGTCTAATAATACAATTATGGTATAACTTTCTTTCTGCACCCCTCAAATTGTGTGTCAGCTGAGGATTACAGGCTCATTTTCAACATCTACTCAGAGAACATTGTAAAATATTATCCTGACACAATGAAAAAAAGGAGGGGGCAGAAAGAGATTAAGTAATAAACAATAAAGCCTATTAAGAATGAATGTATCTAAATGTTATAGCTCCTTTAACTTGTAACTTTGTCATGATGCAAGCCAATGGTGAAGACTATTTAAAGACTGTGTTTATCAACCCCACTCTCCATCCCTCTCCAAGTCACATGTTCCTGGTTAACTCTTGGGCCACAGCCCAATGGCAAGAAAAGAACCATTCCAGAAAATCTGTTGTTTTGACTGATAAGTAGATGGGTCTGACTAACGCCACAGAAGGCCATTTTCTAATATCCAAACTTTCAGTAAACTTTGAAAAGACCTCAGTCTAAAATATCCATTATTCCAATTAAAATAGGAGGTTTTAACAAATTTTAGGCTATGGCCAAATGCGGCCATATGAAGGAACCTTATTTTACTATGGGTCAATACAATTATTTCTTTCTCAAAGGACAAAATGCAGTGCTTTTCATGTCTGCTAACTTTTAACATTGGAGGATGTGCCATTTGGCCACTATACCCCTCAAATTGAATTAGCCACTATTTAGTATTTGAGACTGCCTCATAAAATAACTAACAAGGATATATCTCGGATTAATACTCAGGAAAATCCACTTTTAAACACCCAAAGCATTGGGCATCTTTTGTAAAAGTTACTTCATTCACTTCATTCTTCACAATTCATGTGCTATTCTTCTTTCTGAGGATTACGCCAGTTTCTATGAAGAAGCAGAGGAAAGGGGCAATTTGTTAGCTGCTTAGTGTTTTATGAACAATTCCCCCCCACCGCCATTTTTATGATCTAACTGGAAATGCAGAACAAAGATTGTGGACGATGGATGAGAGAATGGCAGATTCTTAGTAGTGAAAGACACAAGAGCCTCTACTTTAGTCAAGCCCCAATAAGGAGGATCATTTTTCAGAGGACTGAGTCAAACAATTTCAAAATTCTAGGGGCTGTCTTACTTCTAAAATTTATCAAATGAAAAGCCTGTTCCATTTCTTTTTTGTGATATGAGCCTTCTGATGAATTAATGGAGGAATCTTTGATTTTATTGATTTATTTTAGTCACGGAGGAAAGAAAGAGCAGAAGATTATTAGTCTGATTCATAATGACCTGCTCTGTACATTTTTTTAAAAGCTGACTAAAAATATGTTGTTTAATCCTATAATCAGATGCGGAATGTATCGCTAGACTTTCTCAGATAAATTCTTTTTTTTTTTTTTTTTTTGAGTTGGGGTCTCACTCTGTCGCCCAGACTGGAGTGCAGTGGCCGCTCCCGGCCACCACAGCCTTGACCTGCTGGGCTCCAGTGATCCTTCCGCCTCAGCTTTCCGAGTAGCCAGAATTACAGGCGCACGCTACCACGCCCGGCTGATTTTTTGATTTATTGTAGAGATGAGGTTTTGCTGCCCAGGCGGGTCTCGAACCCGCCGGCTCAGGCAATCCACTCACCTCAGCCACCCAAAGGTGCGGGATTACAGGCTGAGCCACCGAGCCCGGCTTCAGATAAATTCTTACAACTTATATAAATAATATGACTGGAAGTACTTTATAAACAGTTGGAGTTGTTTCCTAACTTGAGGGGTTTTGTGTTACATTCACATACAGATTTAAAGTTGTAGATATCTGGGGAGAATATGTGTGTATAAAACTGCATCTAGAATCCATTTCTAAAATTGAAGAAGATGGGAAGATACCTCAGTTTTGTGGTGAGGAAAAACAAAGCAATAACCTCTTGGTCAAGAACTCTCCACTTAAACAAGAATTGAGTTGTTCTGCCTTGCTTAATACTGGTTACTCTTCTCCATTTCAAGTTTATCTTGAGTGATCTTATACTATTGTTTTTGATCCAGACAGTCTCATCTTGTCATTCAAAATACATATGCCGTAATTACATTTTTGTAAAAGATGAAAAGTATATATAAATAGCATATATGTGTAGATAAAGTCTGAAAGGATATAAAATGTTAATTGAGGTTGTCTCTGGGTGACAGGGTCACAGCGATTTTATTTCCTTTTTGCTTACTTTTCCTAATCAATTTGTAATGAACATGTTTAAATTATAAAGTAAACATTAAAAATATTAAGGATGTTCTACCTAGGGTCCTTAATATACTTTTTCTGAATAGGCGATTCTCGTTCTGTACTTTTGTCTATAAATCTAACTGGGGGAAAAAGGACAAACCAAAAGCAATTGCTTTTTCTACTTCCAGATGAAAGGCTGTGCCCAGCCTTTCTCAAAGTTTCTTGTGTCACTGGCTTGTATGACATGACCTAATATTTCTCCCTTTTATACCTGTAACCCGTTAGCACTTGGTATCTGGCAGGGGAATGAGTGGAGGAACGAGAATGGCATATCCCAGGAATTCAGAAGGGGAGAGAAGAAGGTCACATGCTTGGTTTCCACTTAGTACTGACGCTCTGGAAAGATTCAGCTGACAGTTGCCACATGGATTAGCCTTAAAGGTCAGGTGGGAAGGAGTTAGGGAGTTGTTTTGAGATAGAAAAGAGAACCATCTCCTATACGCTCACTGCGTTAGCTCCTCATCTTTGGGGATTTTGAGATGGGTGGCTGGGCCTGCCCTTTGGCTGGCTGTTCTGGAGTCTGCTGGCACTTGGAGAATCAAGGACTATGTGACTGCAGCTGATACGATGAGACATTTTACTTCCCTGGCTAGCTCCTGAGAAGAGCTGCACCCACAGCCACAATCGCAGCTACTAAGCTTGTGTTATGTACTTGACAGATAGCATCTGTAAAGACAGTGGAGATGCAAAAGAGAAAAAAGCAGAAGTGAAGATCTCTGGGGTAGTTCAAAAAGTAAAATAAAACCTAAGATGCATCCCTAGGATAAAGGTCAGGACTGGGAGAAAAAACAGAAAGAGAAAGAAAAAAGAGAAAATATTGCAAAAGGTGATACAGAAGGACTAAGAAAGGTCAGCTTCCAAAAGGTTCTGATTAGGAGAATCACTGCAGGTCTTTAGTGATAAGGCAAAGAGGAATGCTTAAAGTTGCCCCCAAGCTCAGGATGTCCTGAGAACTTTAGCCCACAATGCTCACCAGCCAGACTTTTTATTCAGAGACTTGTCATGGCATTTCACAAATACCGCAGGTGACTTTCCTTTCTGCAAGTGAGACACTTTCTCCCTGGAACAGAAGATGACCCTGTGGAAGAAAATGGGTGTGAACACATTACATGGAACAATAAAAATGACTTCAAAAGTGTACAGTTGGGTGAGCGCTGTTTAAATCCTACATGATCATGCTGGGTAATTGTATCAGTAGTTCCAATAGGTAACTGTAATACTCAAGCCAAATCTGAATCAGAGGGTTATTTGAGATTCTAAACCAGTGTTCAACAAACGAACTAGTTAATGCATCTAGATAGTCAGGCATACACCTGGAGGAGTCTTATGTCACAAGGTTTTCACCAAGAGATGACACAAGATCAACTCTACCACCTCTTAGCATATGTGTTGGGGAATTAAGGAACTGGCCTTGCTGGAGAAGCAAAGGTCCTGCATAGTCTTTCTGCCCCAAGATCTTTTCCTGATTATAAAAGCAAATGGTTAAAGAGAAATAATTTGTTAATCCTAATTTAAGAGTTGCTTTTATTAACAATAATAGCACACTATAGTTTGCAAAATCCCAGCACATTTAGCATGAAAGTTTTAAACCCTATAGGGACTCTCTGCAATTCATTTTATAGATACATGTGGGGTGGGGTTGGGAGACAGGATGCAACTATCTTAGAATCTCATCCTTCTTAAAGAGGTTGGTTTGAATCTTTGAATGTCAAAGTGACACCTCTGATGTTTGTTCTCTATTTTGTACTTGCAAGAAATTGCTAAATGAGATGCTGAGATTCCTGACATCCAACCCCATCCCTCATCCTGAAAAGCTGTAACAATTCAGGGCTTATGTGTTGCTTACATAAATGCAGAAATACTATTTCTTCATCAGAGTGACAATAAAAGAATACTCCTAAAGGAAATTTGAGATGTAATGATCTAGGTCATATATTACCAAAGACAGGGCTTCCCAAAGTTTCACCTGAACGTGGACGGCTCCTGAAATACTACCCCTAAGTAACGACATCAGGGTGAGTCTGAAGTGAATGAAGGAAAATCAATATAGTTACTTTTTCTGAGTCTCTCCTGCTTTTACTCTGATCTTTTCGATAGCAAAGCCGGGGCTGCTCCACCAGTCTGACCAGCTGAAGTACGAATCACTATTCCATTTGAGTTTCAGCATGAGCAGTTCTCCAATGTCCACCTCCGTGTAAATCAGGAAGGAGTACGTCTTATTTGTGGCAACTTCAGGCCTGAATTTTTTTTAAATCAACAAATATGGTTAGTTATGGAAATCAGCTTTTTTCCCCCTCCCAAGATGTAAATAGCTTTATTGTCTGGGGGATATTCTAAAAATGCAAAAAATGCCCAACAAAATTCTCAAAATAAAGGTCAATGGCATTTAGTGTATTTTAAAAGATATCCACATTCCCTACATCTCTCCCGACATTTTTTCTAACAGCATGAACAATTGAATACAATTCTTAAGGGAAAAAAAATCCACGAGCCAATCGTCAGAAACATTATTTTCATTTTCACGATTTCCTTTCCATTTATATTGATAGGTGAATATATTTTTACTTCTTTAGAATCATAGTACACACACAATTCTCTATTCTTTCTTTGTTTTCTACATATTTCATCTTCTATTTTTGCTATGTTTTCCCTAGTTTTTCTATAACTATAGTTTTTAAAGCTTAGATTGATTTTTTTGACTTGATAAACCACAATTCATTTAACCATTGATTCAGTACTGGATACTAAGTTTCTAATTCACAAAATTATTTGCTCCACTGTAATAAATGTACCATACTTAATTTAAAAAATTTTTGTACACTATTTCTTTAGAATAAACACTAGAAAAAAATTACTTCATTCCATGGAATAACATTTTATAGCTTTGGAAAATTATTGCTATGCTGCTTTCCTCACCTGGAGAGCTCTGTTAATGAATAATATACCCAGTAATGTGTGCATATACCATTTCATCACCTCATCAGCACGAAGAATTTTTTTTTAATAGAAGCTCACTTTGTCACCCAGGCTGGAGTTCAGCGGTGTGATCATAACTCATTCCACCTTGAACTCCTGGGCTCAAGTGATCCTGCAGCTTCAGCCTCTCAAGTACCTGAGATTACAGAAGTGTACCACCAATCCCAGCTATTTTTGAAATTATTTATAGGTAACAGCTTGCTATGTTGCCCAGGCTGGCCTCCAACTCCTGGCCTCAAGTGATCCTCTCACCTCGGTTTCCCAAAGCCTGGAATTACAGGTGTGAGCCAGTATACCAGCCAGTACTGGGTATGTTAAAAGATTTGCTCATTTAGTAATTATAAATGGATATCAAGTTTCTTAGTTTTGTTTTGTTTTGTTTTTTGATAAATAGTAAGGAACAACATTTTGCTGTTGTACTACTTTGTACTACTTAAATCTTCTATACATATGTGCATCTATAGAGTAACTTTTTACTATTGTTCATTTTATTTAAAGGTTGCTTTGTTTGAAAGCAACTGCATAAAAGAAATAAGCAGACATAAAATGATTTAAAAAAAGAAAACATATGACTTGCAAATAAGATTAAAAATGGCCTAATTTGAAGAATTTTTTTTCAATATATAGTAGAGCAAAGACCTCAATTTTGAAATTCCAATTTCCTAAACTAGTGACTTGTTTTCTAGGTATCCCACTCTGCTTCTGCTTCTGAGACCAAGGGTTATGGCAGGTAGCAGTGTCATGATGAATCCATGTGCTGGAGGAGGGGACCTGCCACTACTCACAGAGTGAAAGGGATGTTCTCACTCTCAGCCACGGTGCCATACAGAGACATCTCGAAGGACTGGTCGGTGTACGTCTCACTCTTAGTCCCAGAAAAATGAATCTTTACTTGGTAATGGAAGACTGTAGGGAAGGAAATCACAACATATGCTGATCAATCTTTATGAAAACACAACGCTAAACAATCAGGCAATTCAGAATCACAAAAATGTATCTTACTGATGCCCAAATAGGAATTGTGCACACACCAAACCATCACTGTGGCTTAGAAAGATTTCTTCATACTGTACAGTGTGCATGCCTAGAAAATTCGAACTTTGACTTCTAATCCCTTTCAGAAAAGTGTGGCTTTATGAATAGGAAAAACTCCAGTATGTCTGCATTGCCAAGCAATCCTAGAAAGAAGCCATCTTTGATGGAATCCTAGGAATATCAAATCTAAAGACCAAAACACTCATGAATTCCATCCTCTTTGGCTATCTTGTCCCTTAGCATCTCTACTAAGCATATTTGGCATTTGTTACTATGTCACTGTATACGACCACGTTTCTTCTTGTTGCATGGGTAGTTTTGTTTCATATCCTCTCAACCTGACTGTAACCTCCTTCAGGTTGGAGATCACATCCATCCTCTTAATTCCCTCACCATCTAGCACAAAGTAGGTACATGGTAGGCTCTCAATAAAACTTATTTCATCGAACCATTAGGACACAAGGACTGTCTTGTAAAGCTAGTTCCTAAAGTGTTCTGTAGTAGAGAGAACCTCAGGAAGTAGGTACTTGAACTTCCATATCTCCTCCCTGTTCTTCCTCTGATCTCTACCAAAAACCCTGAGCAAAGGGATTGGGGAGGGGTTAAGGGGAAAAGCAGCAGGCCTGAAACACAGTGACTATGGTGAAAAAGAAAAAGAGTTACTGGGATGCTTTTTCCTCTATATGCCAAAATTGTCAGTCCAATTTTTTCTTATTTGTGTTGCTGTCACAGATCGTATGTTCTCTTAAGCTGGGACACAGATTTCTTCATGTGGATGGTTTGGAATATGGCACACTACATTTTTGTGCTACTTTAATCTCTTGGTCTAACGAAAAAATTTTCAATATGTTTTGTTATTCTTGTGAACTTTTGATGACAACCCTCTATTTTGTTTGGATATATCACTTTTTATACTAAAAATAAGAAGCCAGGTACTAAGCAAAAACAAACAAACAGAACAATAACAACAACAAAACCCCACAGCTACTGAAAGGGGACGAGACATTGAATTTGGGGTTAAACAGAGCTCTTGCAAGCCATACCACTGGCCAGACAGAGCAGGAGAAGCAGGGAATGGAGAGGTGCCCCCAGTGGACACCAAGGGAGCCCTGAGCTCACAGAAGCAGGATACAGGCATGAATGAGACCTGTTTGGATCCTCAAGATTATGGTCCCCTCCTTACCTCACACCTTACTTTGTTTCTAAAGAGTCAGGAAAACTGAAGTTTCCCTCCTTGCCTTAAATGTTTTCTTGAACAACAGGTGCTTTAATCACTATGCCACCAAATGCACCTCTATAGATTTTAACAAATCACCTTACAAATGGTGCCTATAGCAGATATATGTCACCTTGGGACACTGGTCTGTAATATCATATCACCTCAGGCTTACCCCAGGACTCCACATAAATCAGCCTTTCTGAAGTTAGTCCTTCTCACCAGATTTATCTGATTACCTCCTCTCCATTTCCCCACCATTCTTTTAGGTCTTGCCCTAAACAAGATGCCAAGCTTGAAATTCAAGTGTAAATAAAACAAATTCATTACCAAATGGAAATACCTTAGAGCATCTGGTATATCGTTGCTTCCCAGAAATAGTTGCAAAAATACCCGTGGCTCTGGCCTTCATACAAAGCAAACTTTAGAAGTGATAAACTTTTTATCAAGGGCCAGGGAGTAAATATTTTAGCTCTGTGGGCTGTATGGTCTGTCTCAACTATTCAGCTCTGCTATTGTGGTATGAAAGCAGCCTTAAATCTTATGGGAGCTAATGTGTGTGGCCATGCGCTAATAAAACTGTATTTACAAAAGCAGGTGGTAGGTTGGATTTGACCCAAGAGCCCTAGTTTGCTAACTCCAGGTCAATGGTTTCAAGTTACCTCTGAGACCAATGAGAGTGGCAAGTGGAGCTGAAAATCCCAGAATGAGCACTGGGGACTTACTGGCAATGGGAATTAGGAACATCAGTAAAATGAATCAATACAACTCCCTTTATCAACAGAAATACCAATGTTTAGTAAAATCGTATCATTATCTCTGTTCCAATGGACAGAATCAGAATCAGTACATGTGATGCAGTTAGCATCATAAAAACAGGATAGGCTAGGCACAGTGCTCACGCCTATAATCCCAGCACTTTGGGTACTAAGGTGGGAGGATTGCGTGAACTCAAGAGTTTGAGACCAGCCTGGGCAACATTGCGAGACCTCGTCTCTAAAAACCAAAACATTAGCTGGGTGTGGTGGTACCTGCTATGGTCCCAGCTACTCAGGAGGCTGAAATGGAAGGATAGCCTGAGCCCAGAAGGTCAAGGCTGCCATGATTCTGACACTGCACTCCAACCTGGGTGACAGAGTGAGACCCAGACTCAGAAAAAACAAACAAACAAACAAAAAACAGGATTAATTGATTTTCTTATCTACAAAGTTTCCAGCCTACCTTTGTAAGGCATCTGAGAACGAGTCTTCAGGTACATTTTGCTGCTCCTTTTGGATCTAACCTTATTGACCTCATAGCCCAAATTGTTGCAACGGTTCTTTCTGCAACTCAGGCAGAGCCCTTTCTCAAAGGCTTCCTTTGAACTGCACCGGTAGGCCTTACTTGGATTTTCTTCATTCAACAGGGAGTCGATGAAGAGATGAATGGAACGCTCATGGGAGCACTTCACTAGTTGGTCCACATCTGGGAAAAAAGACACAAAGAAAATTTCATTGCCATGGAAATCCACAATGAGTGCTTCATTTTGCATATCTAAAATAGATAGGTTAGGTATGGTACTAGAATACAAACACCCTAGAATATAGTCCTGTGCATCTATGATTGTAGGTCCTACTTTAGAAGGTAATCTGTAGGCTGTGTGGCAGCTGTTCACCTACCTCCAAGACTGAAAGTTTCAAGCTCACAGGGGACTTTTGGCTCTTCTGCTGTCTTAATGACTATGTTTAGGAAACTATAATAAGAGACATACAAGGTAGAGGTTGATTTCCCTGTTTATCACATCTTTCTCTTATATTGAAAGTCTCTAATACTTCTAGATGGTTTTAGAAACATACAAATGTTCCTTGACTTACAATAACCCAGCATAGATAAAAAGAAAATACTGTAAGTCAAAAATGAATTTAATATTGTATACACTCATCATGATGTCAAAAAATTGTAAGTTGAACTTCATTAAGTCCAGATACTTCTCAACTTATAAGGAGATTATGGCCCAATAAACTCATTATGAAGCCAAAAAATCATAAGGCAAACTATTGTAAGTTGGGTACCATCTATACTTCTAGAAACCACATCATAAAGGACATAATTGCTCAATGAATAGTATTTTATCATAGATAATATGTATAATTGAGGATTGTACTCCTACTAATGCTCTTTACATCAAATGAACCAGAAAAATACTCAGAAATGTCATGAGAATGAATATATTACTGTAAACAATGTCATAAGAAAGAATATATTAATTATAACAATTGGAAGTAGTAACATTATGCTGTAAGTTCAGTAACGTGCACAACAGTAGTAAGCATATTGTCTATAAAGTATGCAGAGTTCTTGAATAGGTAACAAATTTAGCGCAAGCTAACATACTTATTAAAATATACATTAAGTGAATATGAATTACTCTTTCTTCTTAAAATTTTGGAGGATTTATTGCAGGGGTGTGAAGATTTGTTTCTAATTTGGCTGTCTCTTAAAAAGGCCAAGAGCAGAAATTTGAACTAATTAGCACCTTCCACACCTTCAGTAAAATTCAAAAGCACTCCATTGTCTTCGCAACTGCATGCAAGGTATGCTAACGTGGCCAGATGACACTTTATGATGCCATTATCAAGGTCAGTGGAGTTTTCCTGTCTAAATCTCATCTTCACTTTCTCTTGTTACTCCAAGTGCAATATTCAACGTAGTCTACAATATAATAACTAAAAGATAAAATGGCTATCTTGCTGGCTCTTAGGTGATCATGCTGAACATGGTGGAATTCTTCTGAATATATTTTGCCCAAATGTATATAGAAAAAATACACACTTTGAGGGTACTGGGTAGTATCCTGGACCAATAAGGGTTAAGGGTAAAACTCACATTTAATTAACTTCTAAATCATACTTACCTCCAAGGCCTCTCTCTGCAATCACACGGATAGCTTCCCCAATGTTACATCCTGGCTGAAAAGTACCTCCATTTGGATAAATGTCAACATGTCCTACTGGTTTCTGGATTCCAATGCTTCGACCGGGGGAGCCCCTTGTGAATGTGTGTAAGACGTCTACAAAATCTGCATCATCAGGAGAAAGGCGGCTTGGAGCTTCTGCATACTCAAAGTTTGGTCCAGCTGGATCTAGGCCTTGAAGGGGAAAAAAGGGCCCCACAGACTTTTAACTCTCCATTAGCATGACGTTAGCACTCCATTGCTCATCATTTGAACATAACTGGCAGTCACTTAGAATCACATTAGCTCATATGCTATAGTAATTGGATCTTTACGTTACTAAGAGAGTCATGGAAGTAAGCTTGTCTTCTAAAACGAATCTGAGTCTCTTAAACTAGCCATTATATAGTGATTTTTGCCCAGAGTGGCCTGATATGCTTTTGTAAATTATTTCTGAATCTGGTGAGAAGGACATTAAGCAGCTATGAGTTCTCTCTCTCTCTGTATGTCAAATCTTTGCCTAGATGACTGTCTTCTCTCCAAATGACCTCTGGAGTTGGGTCTTTGTCATTTTTTTCTAGTGATGATGTGAGAGAGAACTATCGATGTACGCTGTCAAAGCACAAAGCAGACAGAGAAGCAAAACGGGCTTCTCAGAGAAATCTGTAGGCGTTCTGTGCTTAATGCTGCTTTATTTCTGTGCTGCTACCAGTAGATGGTAAGCCCGTGAAAGAGAGCACCTGTATTTTATCTTAAAAAGAGTCCTGCAATGAGATAATCAAGTGTCAGGTAGATCCCCCAAAGATACACCCGGCACTTTTGGGGATTTAACAAACATTGTTCTGATTCTCTTTCAGAATATCAGCCATCTCAACTCTTGTGATAAGACCAATGAAGCTGCTTTCTTACCAGTAATTCTGTTGACCTTTTTTTTGGTCAGACTTCCTGCAATGCCAGCAGCATGGGCCCCAAGGCTGTATCCCAAGAGATGGACATTGTCCAGAGGATAGTTAAATTCCTCCTTTGGAAGCGAAAAAGAACAAAAATATTTTTAGACTTATTTGACACAGATCAAAATTAAAAGAAACAAAATGAATATGAATATTGTTTTCAAAATATAAGAAATGCTGAAAATTAATTCCATGTATTTTAATTGGGGAGTACAAGTAAGAGAAAGAAACATATTCTCTAATGCTACTATTTTTTCTTTCTTTAACAGCAGATTTAAATTAGAAAGTATTTCCATGCATCTGAAATAGTATTTTATATATATATATATAGTGTATGTATATATATATGTGTGTGTATATATATATATATATATATATACACACACACACATATATAAAAAACATATGTAGGCATATCTATATATCTATATGTGCATATATAAATAGTTTATGTGTCTACATATGCAAATACATATTTTAACTTTTGCCCATTACTCCCTACTCTAAATCCCCTGCATCACTTTATTCTTAAAGGCTAGCCAGGCAATGACTTATAATCAGAAAATATTACAGTAGGAAGGGATCAGAGATATATGGTCCAGACTCCTCATCTAATAGGTGAGAAGCCTGAGGCCCAGGGGGATGAACCGATTTGATCACTCACCTGGTGAGCCAAAGAGCCAAGAAAATAACTTTTGTCCTTTCATGGTCAGTCCAATAAATGGAGTTTTTTTTTAAACCTCCAATTATCTAGTTTAAATAATGTGACCCTGTCAGGATATTAGCTTCCTCCCAAAATACTTTTCAAAGATATTTTTCAGGTGATGGCCTTAAAAAGTGGGTCCTTTGCAGCTAACTAATAACTCTGAACCCTCAGCCACTGCTTATCCTATATAACCTCTACCATGGCCCTCCCAGCTCAATTCTATCACTCCTCCAACCCTCAACAAAAATCTGCATCTTTAATCCACACTAAAGAATCAGTGCTGTTATAATACTTTCATTAAAGAGATTGGTATTCTAACAAAGAGATTGATATTCTAACAAGAATAGAAGCCAGAATAAAATTTCCATGTGTCACCCAACTGATGGGGAAGGATTTGGCTGGACATGCCATCTTCCCTCCTTCCAGAAATAACAAGTTTTTGTCTGTTCAGCCCACTTAGTTCTTGGTGTCAGCAGATCTATTCACTATGAAAATATCAAAGGACAGGGCAGGGCAGGGCAGGAGTACTTACTGGTTTTATATTCTTATTCTCATAAAAATGCTGCTTTTGATTATAAAATAATACCCATGCTCATTCTGAAGATTTGAGTTGCCCCAGAAAATATCTACATCTAAGTGAAAAGGAAGAAAGCCCAGCCATTTGTCTGGCCCAGCTGAGAGTTCTGTTTTGTGGCATTTCAGGCTCCTTCTCCCAGTCTTACCTCCATCCAGTTGATAAACCTGGCCACATCTTTTCCCACGAGCTTGGTGTAGCCTGCAGACACTGGGTAATGCTGCTGAGCCCGTGTCAGCCAGTCCACCACAATGACGTTGGAGTCTGGTTCCCTTTTGTACAGGGCAGCCACAAGTTTTGGCACCCAACTCTCGTACATTCCTGTCACCTGAAAGAAAATGATACAAGCATTATTAAAATACCCACCTACAACTCGTCATTGATATGCCAGTCCAAAATACCTACATAAAATGGAAAAAACTAAAGCTTACCAGGAAGCCCATTAGCACAGATGGAAAAAACAGACCCCAAAAGAGTGTCTGGAGATTTGCATTTGGCCCCTGCGGGGCAAGTCTGAATATGCCAAAGAAGGAATGTGTTGAGCTGAGGAAAGGGAGAATGGGGTTTATCATACTTTCAATTTTAAAGGTATATATAAATTCAGTAAATCTTCCATTATTTATACTTTTTTTTCCTTTTGAGGCTGTATCTCACTCTGTTGTCCAGACTAGAGTGCATGATCACGGCTCACAGCAACCTCTACTTCCTGGGCTCAAGTAATCCTCCCGCCTCAGCCTCCCAAGTAGCTGGGACCACAGGCTTGTGTCACAATGCCCGGCTAATTTTTATATTTTGTTTAGAGATGAAGTCTTGACACGTTCCTCAGGCTGGTCTCAAACTCTTGAGCTCAAGCAATCCTCCCACCTCAGCCTCCCAAAATGCTGGGAATACAGGCATGAGCCATCACACCTGGCCCATGTATACTATGAAAAGGAAAGATCAGTCTGGATATGGAGTGGGTCTTTGAGGGAACCAGTTGGAACACCTGCCTAGAGCAAAACCCTGAAGAACTGGTCCTGTCCCACCCCCCTTTCACCTCCCTTTGTGAAGTGCTGGCCACAGCAAACACCTTTCAAAATCAACAGATGTTGATGTCATTTCTTCAAAATACAATGTTAATCACTCGTTTCAGCCAGCATGAGGATGCCTTACTTCACAATGAGAATCCTGTACTTAAAGCAAGTGAAATCCAGACAAGTGACAATGCTGTGTCTAAACTGCATTCTGGGGTGCACCATGTTCACGCAACATGCTAGGCATGCTTTTGGGTCTTTCATGATACACCAGGAGCGCCTCTTCACTTCCCTAGACCAGGCCCTTGAGTTGCCGAGTAGCTTATGTCAGATAAGGCAGGAAAATCCTGTCTGCTCAAGGTCTCTATGATAAGTTTATCTATTCTATCAATGTTTCCAAGTTAAACAATCTACAAGGGCAAGTAGTCCAAGCTACTCCTGTAATGGCTGATACTTTTACTAATGGCACAATCTAGTCCTTTCTAAGTCAACGTAAAATACTGATGGAAGTAGCCCCGGACAAAGGGGGTAGAAAATCCAGGTATTCATCTTCCTCAATGAGAAGACAAGAAAAAGGTCCTTTTTTCAAGAGTTTTTTGTTTTTTAACTGAGGGTCCATCAATCAGTAGCAGTGTTTAAAAATCTCTGATTCTCAGACATAGAGCTGAATTGAAGCCCTCCTTGTCACCTGCACCAGATGGGTCACCAGTGGTAGGCCCCGCCAGTGACTTCACTGAGATAAGCTGAGATCAGTGTGGCTGGCTTAGTTTTTGTACAAACCACTCTGTATAGTATGAAAACTCAGCTCCTCAGCCAGCGACAACTTAGCTTCTGAGCCCAGGCACTCAAAATGTCAGGAAAGAATCGCAACACTTTGCAAGGCCGAGGCAGGTGGATTGCTTGAGCCCAGGAGTTCAAGATCAACCTGAGTAACATAGAGAGATCTCATCTCAACAACAACAACAAAAAATCAGAAAAATTACCCAGATGTGGGTAGTGCATGCCTATAGTCCCATCAACTTGGGAGGTTGAGGCAGAAGGATTGCCTAAGCCCAGGAAGCCAAGGCTGTGGTGAGCTGTGATCGTGCCACTGCACTCCAGCCTGGGAGACAGAGTGAGACACTGACTTTAAAAAAAAATGTCAGGACACATGATATGAAGAATACAAGTAAGCTTAATGGAACTGTAGGACCCATTATAGAAACTGAAATCATCAATTGATACTGGGTTAGTCATGTCATCATTTCAGTATGAAAAGGAAACATTTTTTTCTTTCCAAAAATTCCTAAAGAATAAAATTCTCTCAGAGATAAGATTGAGACTCCTGAGATATTCAATTTATTCTTGTTGCATAAATGCATTTATTAAGCTTAAACTTTTTTTGAAAAGTATTAAAAGTCAGTTTTGTATACATCTAAAATGCCTCTAAAATCACCAGAGATTTCTTTTTCCTACTTAAACCTCTTAAAATATACAAAGATTTATGTTAGGAATTTGAACTTTTATTATAAGATATGTAATTTACTATGTTAATGTTAGTAATGAGATGCATTTTATGAAAATCAATATGTATGAATTATGTTAGTAGTTGCCTTTTCTCCATAAAAAATTGTTGCAATTGTCCTGTATAACAAAGGCATTTAAGCTATGTAGGAAAAGAAGTCAGGAATGGATGTATGCAATTTTTAAAGTAATTCTCCTTAATAGCTTTTAGATTCTTATTACAATATTCACAAGCTCTGACCAAATGGAAAGATAACATATCTTTAACAATCCCTTTCATATAATTCCTTTTAAATAAATAATGCAATCTACTCATTAAGAATTGAAAAATTTAAAAATAAACTAAAGAGTTTAAGCAAGAGCTACATCATGTAAAGTGACTATCTGCATATTTAGAGAGAGGATTACCTCATTAATGTTTTTTAAAGGTAAATTTAACCACAGTTTTCACCTCTTCTAATTATCTTGCATGACAGTTTCCTGGCCAGCCTTCTTTTATCTCTAGAAAAGCTCCCTAAAGTTTGCAACTGGAGGATGTTGGAAGCAGAGGCCCTTAGGGATGTTTAGTCCAAACTCTTCATCTCACAGGGCAGTAGATTGAGGCCTAGAGATGAGAAGTGACTTGACCCACGCCACAAAGCTGGGTCAAGAATAACAAAGCCAGCAACAGACTCCACACCTCCTCACTGCACTCCAGGCCTCTCCTTAATCTTCGGGGCCGTCTACTTTAGGACAAGACTCCTGGTGATGTCCTGGATGATGTAGAATCATGCCAGGCTCCTGCCGGTTCCCTGCAGCGAACACCTATTCTGCTCTGTAGTTGGATAGAACCTCCTTTTCCCACATCCCAAGAATGGCCAGCTCAAGGGCACCAACCAGGGACCATGTTGAAATGAAGTTTGGCACTGTCTAAGGGAAGTACTCATGAACCTCTGGTCTTTAGATTCCACCTAAGTCAGAATTGCCTTTATTCAAGTTTTAAGCAAAGCCATCGGAGAGCAAGCAGAAACATGGGGTGTGGATCCATCATTGGGTCCTGAACAACTAGGGCAAGAACATCAGGATGCCTGGTCGACTCCAGTCCACTCCTCCCCAAAGAGCCTCCCTTACCGTCCAGCCGTGGATCACCACAAAGGTTTTGCTACTGTGGTTGAAGTGGCAGTTAGCCACAGATTCTGCTACTCCGGGAAGGAGGTGGCAAGTGTCTTCAGCTGTTTCTTCAGGGGTCCTTAGGGCAAATTTACTTTCGATGTCTGTAAAATCTCTTCCTCCTATAATTCCTAAAAAAGGAAAAATTGAATAGGTTTGGGACACATGAGGAAGCTTTTTGTATGAAATTGTTCCCACCCCATGGCAAGATATGCCAGTTCAAAATTAAAAAAAAAATTTTATTATTATTATTTTTTATGAGCTGGCAAATTCTAATTGGTGAGTGATAGTGTAGGGAATCATTTAGTGGATTGTTCAGAAATACTTGTGCTATGTATGAGCTATGATTAATTCTTTCTCCAAATATGTCTTTTCCTACTTGTTATAATCTTTCACACAAAGTCAAAACTTAAAAACTACATCAAAGCTGGTTTTAGAAAGAGTTCACTTTGATCCTTCATAGTTAATCCCAAACTGAGTGGGGAGAGAAAGAGAACCTAGTTTTGTTTTTTAACATAATTTATTTATTTTATTTATTTATTATACAGAGATAGGGTCTCTGTTGCCCAGGTTGGAGTGCAGTTGCATGAACATGACTCACCACAGTCTTGACCTCCTGGGCTCAGGTGATACTTCTGCCTCAGCCTCCCAAGTAGCTGAGACTACAGGCATGTGCCACCACACCCAGCTAATTTTTTTGATTTTTTGAAAAGACGAGGTCTTGCTATGTTGCCTAGGTTGCTCTCAAACTTCTAGGCTTAAGTGATTCTCCTGCTTTGGCCTCCCAAAGTGCTGGTATTACAGGCATAAGACACCGCACCTGGCCAGACAACCCAGCTTTTGAAACTATGAACAATAAATCTAAAATGTTGATAAATCTTCATGGGACACTTATAGACAGTACATATAATACAATAGTGAACAGTTAAGGTATACTATATTACAAATAAAATCAGACTCTTTTCACAAAGCAGAGCACAGTCAAAGGAGGTTATATTAGAGTAAATCATTTAATTCCTTGTCAAGTAAAAGTGTACCTGTACACTATAAGAGGGTAATAACATGTAATTTTGTATTTTGCTGTTGAGAATTTTCAGGAGATAAATAAATGAGGTTGCTAAGACTACTTCTAATTTCTTAATCTAAATTCATTTTTTTCTCACAACTCTAAATATTAAAAATCTATAATTTCAAAATGACATTGCAAAAGTCAGGTCAAGAATAAAAATAAAAATTATAAAGGAATAGGCATTTGAATCACACTTATAATAATCTGAGGACTGGTCAGTATTTTCCTTTTTAATAATCATTTTCTACAATTCCTTAAACAATATTGTGGTTACTTGGTAAGCGATTCATTATATGCAGTAAGTTGATCACGCACCCCAAAACATACACTCACACATATCTCCACTGCGTAAAATGAATATTTCTTAATAATTTTATCTATTAGAAAGATGTGAGTTTTGGTACAATAGCTCAACACTCTAAGATCATTTATTCAAATAAGAATCTGGGCTAAACAATTGATCTTTAAAGTTCTTTTCATTTCTATGTAGTAAAACTTCCCTTGAATCTATCCATCCAAGAAGATGCTCTGCCTCTCATCGTATTTGAAGATGTTGGTCTCCTTCCTTCCTAACCAGAAACCATGCTGGTAGCTTTATTATTTATCTGATAGTGAAAAAGAATATTGAATATTTTACATCTAATTCTGCTTTCAGTGCCCAAGAAGTTCTTTTACCATTAGAAAGTGCTTTAGAATGTGAAACTAAATTAATTTCATCCTCTCCCACATCTTTCCACCTGAAGTAACTCATACCTCCCCTCCATCAGTCTTATTTTAACATGTTTGATCATCAATCTTTTTAAAGCTGAGATAATCTGAACAACCCAGCAGACATATCCTGCCTCCTGCCTGCTTGTCAAACTAATATTTTAAGTCTATTATCTTGTATGGTGCCAGAGGATGGCATTAATTTTTAGTCTTTCTCCCCTCAGAATTATGCAACTTGGTGGCCCTAGTATTGCTGGTTGCTTTGAAATGACCAAGAATATTATTTAAAGTTAACTATGCTAGCTGTTTATAGTTCTATGAAAAAAAATCTGTTCTATGCATAGGTCTTATATCAGATTACATGTATGGCTCATTGACAACTCCAATTCCTCATAATCGGCATTTCTGTTGATCCAAAACTTGTAAAGAAAGGCAATAGGAAATTCATACATTCTCAAGCAAATTTGCATCTGGAGGTTTTCATTTCATTTTGAAAGAAAATGATTTTTCATTTTAAGTTTGACAGAAAAATAGTGTCATTGTATGGGCAATATGATAGTTTTAATTCTGTGTTAGAAATGAAATCATAAATATTACTGACACTTAGTCAATCTTTCCTTCTCTTTGATGTTCTGATAAGAATTTTCAGTGTATGTTTGCAACCCCTCAAGGATATCTAAGTATCCTAAAGATGAATGTGCTTCCCAAACCTCTATCAGCCTTTGAGCAACTGGTTCAGACCATGTAGACATTGGTAGAAAGACAGACTCTGGCTGTGGGTCCACCAGTAGCTTTTTTTTTTTTTTTTTTTGAGTTGGAGTCTCACTCCGTCACCCAGACTGGAGTGTAGTAGCACACTCCCAGTCACTGCAGCTTCGACTTGCTGGGCTCCAGCGATTCTTCCACCTCAGCCTTCCAAGTAGCTGGAACTACAGGCATGTTACCACACCCGGCTAATTTTTGATTTATTGTAGAGATGAGGTCTCGCCAAGTTGCCCGGGCAGGTCGCACACACCAGTAGCTTTAATTGTCCCTGGATTATTACTGGATGGCAGATCAGCTGATTTGATGCAACTGCTACTAAGGAAACTACTGCTTTTCTTACATGAAAAGAATATTAGTGACTCTGCACTTACCTAACTAGAATGTCATTTACCATGTGCCTCAGGAATTAAGTCCACCTTATCATTGAGAGAGAGACACGGAGGGAGAGAAGAAAGGAAGGAGGGAGGGAAAGAAAGAGAGAGAAAGGAAGGGAGAGAGTAAGGGATGGATGAAAGGACTCCATCAAGAGTTTGACTTAAGATATCAGTATCATCTGCCAACTATGCCCCATCAGAAATGTCTTTATTAAGCACTAAGGGGGGATTTTTTGGTACCAGTTAGTGCATTTCTTGACTATGTAACCTTTATTTGTAGATAGAGCTAAAATTTGAGTGTGTAAACAAAACTAAAAAATGTATCCTAATATGAATAATAACTCACAGAGATGAAAATTAGCTGAGAAGTTAAAACACTTAGAGAAAAGTACATTTATAGGGGGTATATTATTGTTGCTCAAAAGAAGAAACACTGAGCATCCTAGAAGCAACAGGTGATACTCTATAGCAGATCAGAGTTATCAGATGATTAAGATGACCAATTACATGAAGTCGTGAGGTAAAAGAGCTCAATTATAACACAATACTCTGAAATTTACACTTTCTCTCTCTCTCTCTACACACACACACACACACACACACACACACACACACACACCCCTGAAAAACTTCACCAGTAATTCACTGGCTCTCTAAGAATGATGATCACATTTACTGACTCAGGCAGTGTATGTAGGATATCAAAAACAAGTTAAATTACAGAATCGGCCAGTTTGGTGAGAAAAAAAACACAACAACATCAACATCATTCTCTGACCAC